AGAGGGTTAGGAGTGCAAGATACCCAAAACAGCAGCAACAATCCCTTTGCACAGCAGAATTCTTTGGGCCCTGGCAGACAGATATCTTCTGGTTTCCTAGGCCTCTGCCACAAACTACACTGCTCAAAAAAATTAAAGGAACGCTTTTTAATCAGAGTATAGCATCAAGTAAATTAAACTCCTGGTATATTGATCTGATACAGACCTCTACAGACTAGACAATGGCACCCTGACTGCCATTAGGTATCTGGATGAAATCCTTGGACCCATCGTCAGACCCTACGCTGGTGCAGTGGGTCGTGGGTTTCTCCTGGTGCACGACAGTGCCCGGCCTCATGTGGCAAGAGTATGCAGGAAGTTCCTGGAGGATGAATTGATACCATTGAATGGCCCCACGCTCTTCTGACCTAAATACAGTAGAACACCTCTGGGATATCATGTTTCGGTCCATCCGACGCCGCCAGGTTGTATCTCAGACTGTCCAGGAGCTCAGTGGTGCCCTGGTCCAGGTCTGGGAGGAAATACCCTAGGACACCATCTGTTGTCTCATTAGGAGCATGCCCTGATGTCAGCCCTGATGTTGTCAGACATGCATACAATCACATGGGGGCCATGCAAACTACTGAGTACCATTCTGGGTTGCTGCAATGAAATTTCAGCAAAATGGACTTGCCTGCTGCATAATTTTTTCACTTTGATTTTCGGGGTGTTTTTTAAAATTATCAACCTACAGAGGACTGAATTCAATTTCCATCAAACGATAGGTCATCCTTACGTTCCTAACACATTATTTTTCCCCGTTTGAGATCTGATGTGCTGACAAAGTGTTCCTTTAATTTTTTTTGAGCAGTGTAGTTTGGAATTCATTTGATTCTTAGACCGCTTTCACAGGTCAGCCTTTGGTTCTCTAGGCCTCTGCCACAGGCCACTTTAGATTCCTATTGAGCACAGGTTCAGGCATCTGGGTGAACAAACCTTATTATACTCTGCCTTCTTCCCCCAAAACAAAGGCCTATGAGGCATTTGCCTTCCACAATTATATTATTTGCAAATACAGGCCTGCATGGGAAGGAGCCCTCTAGATCCGTCTAGAAGGTTACCCAAATATTTATGCTTTCCCTCCATTTCACATCATTGGAATAAACTAAGACTATATGAAAACACTAGCTTAAAGCAGTGTCCTTACATATACAATGGCTGACAAATGTGTTTCCTCTGCATTTGTGATTTTAGAAAAAGAAAAAGACAGATGGGAAAAAGCAGCGGGAGTATGTGCCTCAAAAAAGGTCAGGGGGCTATGCTGTGCTGTTGACTCTCTACAAGAACAGCAAGGTAAGCAAGATGAAATCCAGATTTTTTTTTTTAAACTTGGGTACCATGGCTTAACACTATACTTTCATGTACTTTTCATATTGAAGGTTATATTGATAAGGTTTCCCAGTTTTTTTTTTTTTTTTTTTCTTTTTTTATGGAATGACCGTGACTGTTTGTTTATGGTTGACATTTATGTAATTGAGTGGACCGAGGTCTATTGCCATTCCCATGGGCTAGTGAGTTTGGTTCAGGAAAAAGGGTCAGCTGCACACTGGAGGATAGATGAATATTATTGATCTATAGGACACACAACACCAGAACATGAATACAGAACCTTTTAACGCGTTTCACGCGATCTCGTGCTTAATCATAAGCACAAGATCGTGTGAAATGTGTTAACAGGTCCTGTATTCATGTTCTGGTGTTTTGTGTGTCCTTTAGATCAAAAAATATACACTATATTCATCTATCCTCCGGTGTGTGGCTGGCCCTTCTTCCTATTGCATCGTTTGTGGTGGCGAGCCAGAGCCTGCACCTGTTGTGGATTGATCTGGATTGTTTGCCTGAGCGGTATACCTCTGTTCTCTAGTGAGTTTGGGTGCTAGACCTTTAATAATCTGTAATACCGTACAGATACATTGAATTTGTTTGAATTATGTATTTTTTGTTGAGCTTAACGTCTGCCTGTCGCCAGAACTTTTTTTTTTGTCTTAGCTGGCAGAGGGAGCAAATAGAACTTCTGTCAGGTGTTTGTTTCTGCCCTACTGAGGAAGTTTAATTTTTCCCATTGTCATTTGGGATTGAAAGTGATGGGAAATCCAAACTGTTACAGTTGTCGCTGCAACAGAAAATGAAGCGATAACTTATTGAGTAGTTAATGTCTCTGAAAGAAACTCAAGATACAGACAGCAATAAAGAAAAAGTAAAAAAAAAAAAGTAGGAATTCTAAGCATTCCCCACCAAAGCCAAACCTGAAATATGCTTTTTATTTACATTTTTCTTGTTCGACCTATTTATTTTCATAAGCAGATACAAATAGACTGTGAACAATTCAAGACTTGAAAGTAAACAAAGCAGGGTGGATAAAAATCAATGATTTAAAAAAAAAATAAAAAAAATCGGATTTTTTTTATTTAAATCAGATTTTTTTTATTTAAATCGGATTTTTTTTTAATAAAATGCTTTTTGAGGAAAATATATTACCATCCAAAGGTTATTCCATCATGAAATAAAGATTAGTTTTTTAATTATGTAGAATAAGGCTGTATATGTTTAATTTTTTTGGTAAATAAATTCCATTAATCCATTCACAATGTCATGCTCTTCCAGAGGTTTTTGTAAGATTATTGGGCAGTTTCTCTGCCTACAAGATATTATCACAGATGATTGGTTTACTTTGCAGTTCTCAAAACTGAATTTGACTCAGCGGAGATCACATGCCTCTTCTTCACAGCAAAAATGTTATAACATGAACATGAGTTAAGAAAAAGACCTTAATCCTAAATTCTACAAACCTATGAATACAGAATCAACCCCTTCAGTGCTAAGTTTCAAGAAGTTCAGTGAATAGAATAGAAACAATATTTTTCTGATTGTTTGAAGTGGAATAGATCTGCACAAGAAGAAAGTGAAACTAAGTGTGAGGAGGAAGGGGCTGACAGTCTAAGTTTCTTAAAATATATATAGTATATTTTGTTTAGCCAAATTAGTTAACAAACATGGATGTTTGTTTAAGCAAATAACATATGCTGGAATGTTATTGTTTCAGTTGCATAAATCTATTTAAATTGTTATTATTAAGGGAATGATTATTTTTCTCCTTCCTAAGTACAACAGAAAAGTTGTCCAAATATGAATGATTAACCTATTAAACTGGGGATAAAAAAACTAATATGAAAAGTTGTTATTCTAAAAATCTTCATCTACTTGCATATTAAAGTTATACCAGCAAGAATTAGTCTTTATGTAGAAAACTATGATTTTAATCAAGCTTTACTGACTAGTGATTTAAATCGTGATTTAAATCAGTTTGATTTAAATCAAATCCACCCTGAAACAAAGTAACCTGACCATCTAGGATAATCGTCTATGAAGCATGATACAAAGAATCCACATTAGACAAGTGAATCAAATTAGGTCATTTTAAAGCAATGATGACGACTATCCAAGTGGAAGGTTCGGGTAGATGGCCATCAAGAGTAGGGTGTAAGTAGAAGGGAATAGGTAATGAGGGGGGAGGAAAAAAAAAAAGGGGGTGTGTGGTTTGGTGCTCCTTGAAACAAAATAAGCAGTGCAGCGGGTGGGACAGATCTGCTTATCTGCTTTCAGTCTAAAAAGAACAGAAGGTCTTGGTCAAATCCTGCAAGGAGATAGTGAAGTGTCAAGGATCTTCTCTACTTTATCAGTGAGTTTTGCTTGTATTTTTTTCATGCAGGAGGACCGTGTTAATTCTGGACTTGGTTTCACTTAGAGAGAGGGTGGGCGTTTAGCAATTGTTGGTATAGCTGCTGTAATTACATTTGAACAATAGTTTAAAAGTACATTTATCTGTGCGTGGGAGCCTTAGATTTAAAAGAGCAATTGAGCTGAAAAAGAGACTGGAGTAGCTGAAAGTTCAAAAAGCATCCAGTAAAGGTCACCAAAATGTGGTGCACTACAGGACAGGTCCACCATACGTGGAAAAAAAAAAATGCCCACAGCTCCAGAAGCAGTGAGTGGACTATCATGGGACATAATGGGTGATTTTAGAGGGGACTAAGTACTATTTGTAGTTTGTTTAAATAGCCAGAGCATTGATGGCACAGGATTTAGCTGTCTTTCAAATTTGGGACAAATCCTGAGCGTCCAACTCTATTTTTAGATCTGATGACCATTTTTTAGTGTATGTGGGAAGGTGCTAAGAGGAAAGGGTAAAGCAGTTAATAGATTATTTGATTGTTTTTCCTTCCATCATGAGGATGGGGAGGGTGACGGTTCTCAGCGGGCAGAACACAATGGTTACCTGTAGAGGCTATGGCTGCTGGCAGTAATCGAATGTGAAAAAATCTGACAGGCTGGTTGTATCCAAGGCGATTGATGGATTGACTTTGGTACAGTCAGTCTGCCCATACACAGGTTCCCGCTGAACCAGCCAAATATCAATCCATGTATGGCCAGCTTAAAGTGGTTATACAACCTTAAATATACCCAGTGAAGTGACTGGCCTCAGGCAATACACAGGGATTAAACAAATCCTCCTTCATAAGTTGTACCTGTCTGTCTACAGTCCTCTCTTCTCTACATCTGCTCAAAGTCCAGGATTTATAAAGCTTGACTGAGCTGTCAGAAAAAAAGGAGCAAATAGCTGAAATCACACTGCAGATCTCTGTGAGGAGAGCTCTGAGAGCTGATTGGAGGGAAGGGACACACCCCCATTCACGCAGCTCACAGGAACAGAGCTGATGCTGTAAGTCAGCAGGAGTTCCCTCCCCTGTCACCTTTTTTCTCTTGGTGTGAGGAGAACTTGTCAGAAGTAGTTCATGCTGATAGCAGAGGAATAAAGCAGAAGACAGAAATTACATCTAGTGCTCTTAGTGTTAGTAAACCCAGGACCCTGAATTCACTATATCTGCTCTCCCACAGTACACATAACATGGAAATGCAATTATTTTTGTAAATATAAACTGCTAAATACCACAGCCATGCACAGCAGTGTGCTTACAGTAAAGCACTAACACACAGCCCCTAGTAAAACAGCACACAGTTAACCCTTTGATCGCCCCACATGTTAACCCCTTCCTGCCCAATGCCATTAGTACAGTGTCAGTGCTTTTTATTAGCACTGATCACTGTATTGGTGTCACTGGGGATGTCAGTGAAACCAAGTCAGTTCCCCCCAGTGTCAGAATGCCCACCGCAGTCCAATAGTTGAGCTATAAGTCACTGATCACTGCCATTACTAGTATAAAAATAAATTAAAATAAAATCCCAGTATATATACCGCCATTTGTAAATGCTAGAACTTTCACGTAAACCAATTAATTTAGACGTATGGAGATTTTTTTTTTTAGCAAAGACATGCAGCAGAATACATTTTGGCCTAAATTTTATGACAAAAATTTTTTTTTTTTAAACATTTTACTGGACATGTTTAATAGCAAAAAGTCAGAAATATTGAATTTTATTTTTTCCTCAAAATTGTCGGGTTTTTTTTTTTATAGCGCAAAAAATAAAAACCACACAGGCGATCAAATGTCACCAAAAGAAAGCTCAATTCATGGGCAAAAAGGACGCAAGTTTAATTTGGGTGCAGCGATGCATGACCGTGCAATTGTCAGTTAAAGTGACGCAGCGCTGTAACGCAAAGAAAATGGCCTGGTCAGGAAGGGGGGTAAATCCTCTGGAGGGCAAGTGGTTAGAGTCCCTAAAAATCAGAAACAATGTTTTTGAAATGACAGAGCTCAATTCTTCTGGGTGTATGTTATCAGGTCCAGGTACTTTATTCACTTTTATTCTGTCTAAATATTTCTGGATCATATCAATTTTGAACTATTGTGGATCATTTGGATCTGTGTCAATATCATCCCCATTATGGACATGAGCTTCCCCATGTTCTGTATGTATACACAGAGCTGAAGAAGTTATTTAATTTGCCTTATGTTCTCCAGTCACCACTCTAGATTATTTTGTAAAGGATCTTCAAGCTCAGACCTGACCTTTTTTACTATTAATATATTTGAAGAATTTTGGGGGGGTTCGTCCTACTATCTTTTGCAATCTGTAGCTCGTTTTGAATTTTGTTTGCATCCCTGAATTTCTTTTTACATATTCTGTTATGTTCCATGTAATTAAATGATGACAGTGTTTCTTTATTTTTATATTTTTTAAAAGCTCTTTTCTTATTGTTTATAGCTTTTGTAACTTTTTGGCTGTGGGCCACGTAGGTTTTATTTTTATCCTTTTAAACGTATTGCCCATGGGAATATATTTTTCAGTGTGTTCTCATATGGTCTTTTTGAAGAATTCCCATTTCTGTTCTGTGTTCATTGATGCCCATATTCCCTCCCAGTCTAAGCCTTGGAGAGCGGCACTCATCTTTATTATTATTATTATTATTATTACATCGAGTTTATATAGCGCCAAAGGGTTTGCTCAGCGCTGTACAATAGGGGGGGGACAATACATGGCACAGTACAAAAATAACAAACAATGTACGAGGGGTAAGAGGGCCCTACTCTTTCGAGCTTACAATCTAGGAGGGAGGGGGTAATGGTACAGTAGGAAGTGGCTGAGGGGAATGAGGGGTGGGAGGAAAGAGGGAGAAAAGCCGTTAGGTGAGGGTGGGGTAGGCTTCCCTGAAGAGATGGGTTTTGAGGGAGCGCCTGAATGTGAGGAGGGAAGGCGACAGTCTGATGGATTGGGGCAGTGAGTTCCAGAGGACGGGGGGGGAGGACCTGGAGAAGTCTTGCAGTCGTGCATGGGAGGAGGAGACCAGGGAGCAGGATAGAAGGAGGTCCAGTGAGGAGCGAAGGGTACGGGTTGGGCGGTACTTGGGGATCAGGTTGGTGAGGTAGTCAGGGGCAGTGTTGTGAACGGCTTTGTAGGTCAGGGTTAGAAGTTTAAATTTGATGCGTTGGGCAATTGGGAGCCAGTGGAGGGAGAGGCAGAGGGGGGTGGCAGAGGTGGAGCGGGTGGTGAGGTGGATGAGTCTAGCCGCTGAGTTCAGGATGGTCTGGAGTGGGGAGAGCCTGCACTTGGGTAGGCCGGTGAGAAGATAATTGCAGTAGTAAAGGCGTGAGATGATGAGGGAGTGTACTAGAGGTTTGGTGGTGTCAGGGGTGAGGAAGGTACGTATCTTGGCAATGTTGCGGAGGTGGAGCCTGCATATGTTTGTAAGTGATTTGACATGCGGTTGGAAGGAGAGGTTCGAGTCAAGAATGACGCCAAGGACTTTGGCTTGCGGGGCGGGAATGATAGTGGAGTTGTGGTGGTGATGATGGATAGGATGGGGGGGGGGGGGGGGGTGTGGGCAGGGGGAAAGACAAGGAGCTCGGTTTTGGAGAGGTTGAGCTTGAGGAAATGTAGCGACATCCAGTCTGAGATGTCGTTTAGGAGGTGAGTGATGCGGGCGGAGATAGTGGGGGTGAGGAGAGGGGTGGAGAGGTAGATTTGGGTGTCGTCAGCATAGAGGTGATAGTTGAAGCCGTGGGAGTGTATGAGTTTTCCCAGGGAGGAGATTTGCTCTCCTAAAGTTTAGTGTTTTTATCTTTCCAGTATGTGATTGTTGTTTACAGCTAACATTAAATGAAATTGTTATGGTCACTGCTACCCAGATGTTCTTTTATATGAATAGGTCCAGCAGAGCATTATACCTAGTTGGGGCCTCCATGAACTGTACCATAAATTGTCTTGTTGTAACAGGTTTACAAAATGTTTGCCCTTTAACTGTTCCTGCAGTGCCATTACTCCAGTCAATTTCCCAGTAGTTAAAATCCCACATTGTTATCACTGTGCCAGCTCTTGCAACCCTTTCTATCTGTGCAAGGAGCTGTGTCCACCTCGTCATTAACACTGGGTGTCCAATAACAAACTCCATTATTTACCTTTGTAGTATGCACACTCATGTGCAATTCCACTCATAATGCTTCAGCCTCATCACACTCTCCATCAACTAGATCCTCTTTCAAACATGCTTTGAGATCACTTTTCACATAGAGACAGACACCACCACCTTTTCTTTTTACCCTGTCTCTCAGAAAGAGCGCATAGCCAGGAATATTATTAGACCAGTCATGTGAAGAGTGAAGCCAAGATTCAGCAATACCAGTTAAATCCTAGTTCTCTTCGTGCACCAAAGCTTCCAACTCACCTGTTTTTCTTGGTAGACTTCTGGAATTGTTGAATAAACACTTTAATTCATTGTCACATTTTGTACACACATTTTTCACATTTATTTTGTACAAAGTGTACCATTTCCAGTGTTTTTTTTTTGTAACATGGAAACCTTATCACCTGCCATAGAACTCCCCCCATCTTTCCCCATTTCACCCACTACTAGGGACTGGCCCCTTTATGACCTGTCTGCCCCATTATAATCTAATTCTCCCTTCCCCCTCAATCCCAGTTTTAAATACTCCTCCAGCCTTCCCATAAACCTCTCCCCCAGCACAGCCTTCCCCCTTCCATATAGTTGCAAACCATTTTTAGCATATAGGTTGTACCCCCAATTAATTTTTTGTTGTAAAGGCGCAAAGGGCTTGACCCCATTTTTAGTTATGAAGTGTCTCACCTGGGTAATATTTTTGATAGTCCATTGCTTGAATACCCAAGGGATGGAAAGACTCAAAGGAAACAGAGTTATATGTAAAAGCCATAAAGGGCTTATGTGGGGACAGAAGGTTATCAAAATATTTAACTGACTTGTAATGTTTATTTTGAGATGGGGGTTGGTGATAAAGCGCCTGTCTGATGGGTGGAGCCAAAATAAATTCTCAACTTTGATGGGATTGCAGCCTAAGACTTCTAAGGTCGCCCATGCAGGGGTTTCAAGTTAAAAGTGAAATTTAAGTATTTGAAATAATTACACAGCTTGTCTACCCGATGTATGGTTTAAATTCAACACTTGTCAGTATTTCCAGTGCTGGCTTTTGCCCCAGGCAACTAGCTGTGTCATCCTTGATCATCAAAGCCCCATGCACAAACTGTCACCCATACAGTGCCAAAAAAAATTATAAATATTTTGGCTAATTTGGGAGATACAGCATTTGCCAGACTTAAAGCAGACTACCCCCTCCCTCCTTTTAAACACTCACCTGAGTCCTCTTCATCCAGTGTTGTGCCCGGCTGCAGTTCTTCTATCCACTCTTCCTAGTCTCACAGGAGCCTCAGTGTGGATTCACACATGTGCGGTGCGAATTGAAGTTCCGTTTTCACAGCTAATTGACACAGTAGTTGATCAGCGGATCAGGTCAGATTTACATCAGGATCAGGGAAAACCAGTGTAAAATTGTGTTCACAGACTCATGATGTGAGAATCAGCAGGGGTTTCCATAGAAGTCAGTGAGCCTGTAATCCACACCTGAACCAGACCGCTCTACTCAGAAAATCGGACAGCCACAGAGTGGTATACAGATCCAGAGCTGTGGTGCATCCCTAGGGAATCCAGTCCCTAAGACCCCATTGGGAGTATGCCCACCGTGATGGGTAAAACCTGAACTTCATATACAGTGTAGCATTGTGCATAGGCAAGACAGGGTCACCCTGTATGCTTCTAACCGTCATGGTTAAAGAACAGGGCAATATTTGAATGGTGTTCACGATGCTGTCAGCTTTTCAAATTTTGCGCTAAAACTACAGCTAAATGGACTAGAGAAATAGACAACCAACATGACCCTGTTTTTTAAGATCATGCTTTAACAGATCAATTCTAGCAGCTACCTTCCACTGTGCTCTATTGTGTGGATGCCCTATATCTTGTCATGAGACAGATCTACAGAAAGGTTTTAATCAACATTCACAGGCACAGAATCTTGTGGCTAAAGACCTGGACAGCTGAGGATACCTGTAAAAAGTGCCTCACACATATGTCTTTTGAAGGAATACCTCTATTTGGAGAGGCACTTGATCAATTCATCAAAGATGTCATAAGAAGGGAGGGGTTTACTCCAACAGTGGAAGATCACAAAACTCCCCTCCTCAAGAGCCTCTACCTCCTCAAAATGTAGGTAACCTATCTGTTCTACCTGGGCTTCTACTTCAAATTCTAAGTTCAGCCTTTCTTTTGACTTCCCCCTTTCTCAATGAAGGCTTTCCCTAACTCATGAAAGCGAGGGATGTCTGTTACAGTTACAGTCCCTCTCTGGGTCACAGACCTGTGTATTCAATCAGTGGTTTCAAAGAAGTACAAAATAAAGTTCAGAACTCTACCCCATCACCATTTTCTTCTCTCAAATCAGCCAAAAACTGCCCAAGGA